TTTCACAACCTGTGTTCTGTTCGCCAAGTAACTCGCAAAGACATCCAGCACACTACCCCTAACTCCATAACAATCGAGAACGCTAAGGAGTGAATGGTGGGGCACCGTGTCGAACGCCTTTGCAAGGTCCAGGAAAACAGCGAGGCATTTGTGTCCCTTGTCAAGATTCTCATTTATGCAGTTAGACAGTTCATAGATGGCATCTGTGGTGCTCAAACCATGCATTTGGTGATATGATTTTACCCTGTTCAAGAAAACTAACCAAACGATCTTTAAGGCATTTTTCAAAGATTTTAGCAAACATATTGATAATAATTTGATTTATACCCAGATTTATGTATTGGGATAACTACTGCGGTTTTGAAACTTTCTGGAACTTTACCAGTTTGAAAAATCAAATTTACCATATGTACAGGGTGGGCCAATTTGGACACTTTCTTATGGAAACACCCTTTATTTTTAGAGATAGAAAAAAATGAACCCCCCACTCTGAGGCTCAAATTTCATGAAATTTTGATTGGTGCAAACCGCATTTTGATATCTTTAACCGTTTAGCCGCTAGAGGGCGATTCTCGATTTTTAGCAATACTGTGAAACCTTCATGACTTTTTTATTTATGAAAATAATTCATTTCTGTAAAGACTTTCTGGAAGCACTTTTTTAAGTGGAATTCAGTGACGTTCTCAGTTTTTTTCTATTTAGCTCCGATTCCGAGATATTGACCAAAATCCGATTTTTTTCAATAGGACATCCTATATATTAATAGCTCATTGAAAAGCTCTGCTTTTGCTGATTTCAATGATATAAAATTCAATACGTTTATCTCCAACGGTTTCCGAGAAAAAAATTATTTCGATTTTTGTCATAAGACACAATGTGTTGGAAAAGGTCTTTATATCTGTAGGGAAAACGAGAAAGGTCTCTTTCTAACACATTGTTTCTTATGACAAAAACAGAAATAATTTTTTTTCTCGGAAACTGTTATGGATAAACCTATCGAACTTTATATCATTGAAATCAGTAAAAGCAGAGCTTTCCAATAAGCTATTAATATATAGGGTGTTCTATTGAAAAAAATCGAATTTTGGTCAATATCTCGAAATCCGAGTCAATTAGAAAAAAACTGAGAACGTCACTGAATTCTTCTTAAAAAAGTGCCTCTAGGAAGTCTTTACGGAAATCAGTTATTTTCATAAAGAAAAAAGTTATGAAGGTTTCACAGTATTGCTCAAAATCGAGAAACGCCCTCTAGCGGCTAAACGGTTGAAGATATCAAAATGCGGTTTGCACCAATCAAAATTTCATGAAATTTGAGCCTCAGAGTGGGTGGTTAATTTTTTTCTATCTCTAAAAATAAAGGGTGTTTCCATAAGAAAGTGTCCAATTTGGACCACCCTGTACAAGTGGGGTAGTAAGGTAGTTATGAAAAAACTTGACAATTTTTGAATCTTTACCATCAATTCCAGGAGAGGAGTTAGCTTTTAAAGAATTAATTTGTTTTATGATTTCATTTGTATTAGTTGGCCTTAAAAACATTGATGAATGCGATGTAATAGTTATTTATGTATCAAGGGTACTAAGTAGATGATTATGCCCTGAGGGCGACAGTCTTACAAAGCCGAGGGCATCTGGCCCGAGGGTTCGTAAGTCGCCCGAGGGTATATATATCTATTAGTACCCGTGGTGCATACAAACTTTTTTTTACTACTAACCTGAGAAATAGACATTATTCATTCTATTTTTCTAAGAAAAAATTGAATTTCTCTCCCTAGGTTAATAATGAAAATAATGAAAAAATACCTAGGTCAATAATGAAAATGACGTCATGACGCAAGGATATTGTCATGTTTCTATTGGTTCAATTCAATTTCATACGTCAATTCGAAAAAAAAAATACAGGTTTCTGTAGGTACATAGGAAGTTATCTAAGCTGTTGATAGAGGGCAGCACTTTCAAGAGGGCGTTCACAAAAAATAATTAGAACACAGATTTTAAACATTTTTTTTTATTTTCTACTAGCAGTAGTAAAAAAAATTCTATATATTCCTCGGTAGAGAAAGTCATTATATACCTCAAGCATTATAAAAGCTTTCGGTATTTAATGACCAACTTCTCTACCTAGGTATATAATATACTATTATGTCATACCAGTTGGTTGTGAATAATAAATACCTGGGAAAAAAGTGTCACTTCGCAAATTGTCATCAGTGTGCAGAAACATCATTTTTTGACAAAAATAATATGTTTATAAGCGTAAATTTATATTTTGTTAATAAAGAATAAGTTAATTGAAAACTGTTTTTTGCGTCTTTATGCCCGCGCGGGCCATAATGTGTACTTTATGCCCGCACGGGCATAAAGTAATGAATTATGTAGATGGTATCTAAGGTATAAAAACACAATAATGTAATGGTATGACATAAAATTAATTTTGGTAACATTAAAAGGCTTTTTAATTTTCTTAGACATTTCGAGACCTACATTTATGAAATGATTGTTACAGAAATTTGCGGTGTCTTTATAGTTATTAAATTTAACGTTGTTATTAGCAATTCCCAAGTTCTGATTCCCCTTTGATTTAATGTCACTTGTAGCTTGGGATATAACATTGTATATCTTCTTCAGATTATTTCCACTATTTTCGATTTCCTTTTTGTAATAGTCGTGTTTGCGCTTCCGTATGATTATGTTGAGAAAATTTCTGTGCTGTGTGAATTTTTGTCTATTATTTTCATTATTGTGTAATAAAAGTATTTTTTTCAATTTATCCTTAGTTTTAATGGAATTTATGATTCCATTGGTTATCCAAGGTTTTATTTTTTTGTGTTCTTTAATTTTATAAGTTCTTTTAATTTTAGAGTTATTTAGAATTTCGGATATTACTTCTGAAAATCTTTGTGTGGCCTGTTCCACATCCTGGGATTCTAAAACACATTGCTAATTTACATTTTTTATCAAATTATTGAAAACTGTATAATCAAGTCTGTAGGTTTCCAGTGAATTGGGTCCGTTCACTTAACCCAGCTGTGTGCCTTGTTCTTGATCTATGTTTAGCATTATAGGATAATGATCTGTAAGCGCAGAATGTAAGACAAAGGAACTATACTTTAGGTTAGTTCTTTGATTTTTTCTGATAAACAAGTGGTCTAAGATGGAGCTGGTTTCAGCTGTGACTCTTGTTGGGTTATTAATAGCCGACAGAAAACCAAAGTGACCCAGCATTGTTATGTAGTTATTTACCTCAAAATCATGCTCAGCAGCTAAGTTAATGTTTATATCACCAACAAGAATTTCAATTTGATTATCTGAGTGTTCGTTATACCATAGACTTTATACATGCATGAAATACCAAAGCTTATATTATTTATGCTTAAATTGATATGATGGTATAGAAGCTTAATTTATTTTTCCTTTTTTTTTTGTATACCTTCCTATTGAGAGCATGTGCTCATCAGTTTTTTTTCTCTGCCTATAAACTTTTTAGTGCTTGGTTTAGTAATATTTGCTTTGTTTCTGAATTTTATGTTTATTCAATGATCGTTTGTTTAATTTTTTTCAGCTTTGGAATAGATAAAGCTGTTGACTTATCACCAAATAGTTGTTTTATTGCACACTTCACAAATACTCTACAACTCTACTCATATAAATAGGGGTTTTCAGTTAAAACAGAAAATTCCCCGAAAATTCCCATTTTGGAAACATTCTTGGAAATATTTCCAAGGAATATTCCCAAAAAATAAATTCCTGGGAATTTACCATCACTATTAGTAACTCACCCTGTATAGGCAAATACAAAAAAAAATAATGATTGAAACCCTACAACTCTTTAACTTTTTGTCATGAAATATCTAGATTTCCATAGATAGGAAAAAATAAACGCCACAACGCCACCCTGGAGGTACATCTTTTCGAAAACTTTGGAGAACATAGGTAGTAGGCTTATTGGTCGGTAGAATCAGACATCCTCTGGCTAATTCCCAGGTTTGAGGATCATGGCTATTAGTTCTCTACACTTTGAGAGTTCTAGCAAAATTTTGCCAGATATGAGATCAAAGCTGGGTGTTTTTTTTAATGTTGATTTCTTTCATTATTTTTTATTTAACTTGTTCCGCCGTTCCGCCATGAATTTTTTATGAGGTAAATCCATTTGGAATGTTATATCGAAGAAGTTGGTTAGCTTGGGTTAGTTTATCGAGTTTTGGACAAAATGTGACTAAATTTTAACTCCTAAAGCTAGAATAACCTCAGATTAACACATGAAATAGATAGGTTTATTATGATAAAAAGATGCCCCAAACATCGACTCCCATTCTAAGATCACTTGCGGACACTTACTGCAGATGTGCAATATTTATAAATTGTTCTAGGTTGCAGGGAAAATGGAATTGGAAATTGAAAAAGATATATCGTAAATATAAAAACCTAGATAGGCATGTGTATATACAATATAACATTAAATATTGCGGTGCTTTCCAAAATTGAATAGGAATAATTATTACATAAAATAATAATATATTATCACAAAGAAATCTGAATAAGAATTAGTGCTAGCTGAAAATGGCAACACTGCCTGAAATCACGGAACCTGGTTGTATTCGTCTAGAACGCCCACCTGAATCATTTTATCTTTGTTAAGATAACTAGATAAAGAAGGATGCAAATATTGCCAAAGCAAGCCTGACCATAATCGCGAATGCGCCCTAGTATTCATACTAAGAAATGTCAAACGGGTTTTGTTTGTAATTGGTCCGCATTGTCCGCTATCTTATCCCCACTCCACTTTGAAGAATGTCCAGAAATTAAGATTTTCTTTTGGATTTTTTTAATAATCAAAATTTTTAAATGTACCTGATGTTAGAGAGTTGTTCCTGACTGGTGACCCATTCACAGAAAAAAAAAGAATCTTACCTGAATTTCAACAGTAGTCTGTCTTGATCCTGAAGTTAATGGTAAATTATCAGTACGCGTTTTTCTTTTTTTAACTACTGATTTTGGCTCACAGGATGACTCCAAACTAGGGACGGACCACCATTTAAACTTATGAGGAACTACATGTTTCTTAACGAAAATTGGTCCACCCATAAACCTAAACCTCATATAGTTTTCAAAATCATCTGGCACCTAAAAAAACAAAAAATAAGCTTGTAAAAACAATAAACAATTGGAACAATTTGTGAATGAATTATGTGAACAGATATACTTACGTTAAAATGATCTTCACAGCAATATCTTGTACTGTTATTAGTTATATATGGCTGTCTGGCTGCTTCAAACCAGGCTCTTCTACGATTTTCATTTCGAGGAATAGTAATCAAAACTTTAGTTGGAAAGCCTTCAGAGTTGCTCAGACAACCCCGTACAAAGCAAGTTTTTACCCTTCTTGGCCAAGTATTTACCCTTTTTGATACATTCTTTTTGAAGACACTAAAAAATCACGTAAATGAAAATTAAGATAGCATCCGTTAAACCATTAACTATAAAAGTTTTTTTATAACAAATTGGTGTTGTGGGGAGTGGTGTCTGATATTATCAATATTTGATTATAAAACTTTTCCCAATAGGTTTTGTGTTGCTTCACAATAATTTAAGGTAACACCATATAAAATATGCAATGTTTAATGAGATTCAAGATGTAAAAGACATTTAGTAATTACTAATATCAAAATGACGTGGTAATAACGCACAAAATATAATTTTAACAGAGTTTCATTATACACTTGATTTTTTGTTACTTCTTTAACTATGTTTTTCATGTACTTATTTCATTTTTTCTTTTTTCTGTTTGAACTTGTTAGTATCATGTTAGATTTCTTACTCGCTTGAATCTGCAAGGTCGTTTTCAATTTTGATATTAATTGCTTCGTTTAAGGAATATTGAGAATCAGCGTCCAATAGATAAGCATCTTCCTCGTCCACTTCTTTTTTGATATCCATTGCCACAGCCATTTCCCTTCTCTTATTATTAGAAACCTAAAACAAAAAATATTCAAATTATTCATATCCCATAATAAGAAGTGTGTCAATACAATACAGGTCTCACAAGATTGCATAGTTGTTCAAAAACTATTTATTTTGTTTTTCTTTGTGAAGATTGTGTGAGAAAAATACCTCTATAAACAAATAACTTCATTTAGCTTGTGACTCTTAAAATCCAAAATTACTGTAAAATTTTATTAAGGTTTTTTTCATATTCTAATTGTTGGAGTCGTTTCTAATTTATTTGGAATTGCTTTATTGATTTGTAGAGTCAAAATTGAGAAGAATTGAAAAATGCATTTTTTGAAATGTTTGCACTTTATTCTAAAGGTAAATATATTAAGAATTGTAATTTGTAGCTCTTGATAAAAGCTTCGAAATGGTATTTAGCTAAAGTCGCTAGTGTTAACGGTTTTTCAGAAAATCTAGTTCGAAGTTTTGCTTGCACCGATTTTGGAATATTAACCAAAGTTGTGTTTTTTTAAATAGGAAACCCTATACAGGGTGACTGGTAAGTGGACGTATTCCTTTGAGGAGATGACATTAGAGCCTATTTGCTACCGATTAAACACTATTTACCTCTATACCATTCTTAACGGTTTTCGCGATATTTTCATTTTTCTAATTTTTATAAAATTCACTACCTTATGAGGCAAATATTTAAAATTAACGAAAATAACAAGGACCTTTCTGAAAGTCGTGTTTTAAATTTTAAGCTGACACACTGACAAAAATATCAGCATTGAAAATTATCGAAACACTAATGTTAACTATTGAGTTATTGCGGTTTAAACTTAACTTTTCTTGTTAAGTTTCTAACTAATGACTTATTTAACCCTAAAAATATCGAAAATTTCATAGTACTTCAAACGTACAAATAATTGGCAAAAGTACTCCATTTTATTGTCTCCAAGATAAGGTACATTATTTCAGAATTAGCTTTTTGCTTTATTGTTAAATAAATTATTTTTATTTTAAGGAGAGACGATATAATTTTCAACAGAATTCTAATTTATACCTGTTTTGGATATCAAGTGTTGCAATAAAAATTTTATCAATTTTTTTACTAGCTAATAGTAATAGTTATTAGTAAAGAAGAAGTAATTACTATTTTCTGCTTGAAAATTTTGAAATTTGCATAATAAATTACTGGCACTTTATTGCCAAGCATTCTTGAATGCACTCTTCCAAATAAAGTCTGTTTCTTTTTTGAAGATAATTCCCAAGTCAAAAATTCACTACCAATGTTGGCAACACAAGCTCTTTCTAGATAAAAAATTTGAAAGCATTGACAATTTTACATTGTATCGCCAACATAATGTAAGTGTGACTTTTATCTTTGAAAAAAAAACAATATTTACCATTTGAAAAAATGTATTTCCTACCTTATAATAAAAAAAAAACAACATTCTCCTAATAAAAAAAAAAACAACATTCTCAAAATTAAATGAAAAAACTTTTCCAACAAGTGATGTAATTAATTTTCAAAATGACTACCCCCATTCCTTATGCAATCACGAGCCCGTCTTCTTACTTCTGTCCTGGTTACTCGATTTGAAAAGTTCTGTCGCAATATCGCAACCCCATTCTGTATCCTTTCAATCAGTTCTTCGCGCGTATTTACCTCCGTGGCATATACGATTTCTTTCAGGTGCCCCCATACATAAAAATCTAATGGAGTTAAATCAGGGCTCCTAGCAGGCCATGGAATGGGTCCACCCCTTCCAATCCATCTATTCGGAAACCTTTGCTCTAAGAGTTCCCGTATTGTAAGACGATAATGTGCAGGACATCCGTCATGCTGGAAGATCATCTCTTGCCTGTTCGCTAGAGGGACATTTTCTAGTAGCTCATACAAGTTGTTACGTAAAAATTCTTCATAATTTTCACCGTTAAGGTTATCCGGTAAAAAATGAGGTCCAATTAAATTATTGGCGATAACTCCCATCCATACATTGACACTAAATTTTCTTTGGAAACTAACTTGCTTCTTCTGATGCGGATTATCTTCGGCCCAGTAGTGCAAATTATGAAAATTTGTTATTCCTTCTCTGCTAAATTTTGATTCATCGGTCCATAAAATTCTTGTTAAAAATGAAGCATCCTCAATATCCGCATGGAGAATAAATCTGCAGAATTGAACTCTGCGCGCCGGATCACCCTCGTCTAGTCCTTGCACAGGAGTGTGATGAAATGGGTGAAGACCATTTTGATGAATCACTGACCAGACCTTCCATTGTGAAACACCCAGCTGTCGGGAAATTTTTCTGGTGCTTGTTGTTGGACCTTCTTCAAGTAGTCTCAAAATTTCACCATCAATGTTAACGTCTGCAGGAGGAGCTCCTACGCGTTCTACTCGTTGAAGGCTGCCAGATTCTGAAATGCGACGGTAAGTTGCACCAAACACACTAACATGTGGAATGCGCCTATTTGGGAAGCGACGTACATATTCTCTTTGAGCTTCAGCTGCATTTCCATTGGAAAAACCATAAATAAATAAAATGTCCGCATATTCAGCATAGCTAAACGTTGCCATTTTAGATAGAAGTTAACAGCGAAAGACTATCATCAGAACTATTTAAATCAAAACTTTGGACGAAAAACTGAAACTAAATTTTGTTATTGTTTATTATTATTAATTCAAAAAATGGAAAAATGCGTATGGTATACCTGTTGATAAATATCAACATGATTGGCGAGTATCACACCAAATTGCAATAAGAAAAGACTGGAAAATAATGTTGCTTACTTAGTCTGAACTTACAATTCTTCTAAATGCGAGAATAAAACCGTTACTCCTACAAATGAAAATTATGAAATCAACAATAAAACAACCTTATTTTAAAGACAATAAAATAGAGAATTTTTAACAATCATTTGTACGTTTGGTGGACTAAAGTGCGTTTTTTTTTTAAAGATAAAAGTCAAACTGACATTATGTTGGCAATACAATGTAAAATTGTCAATGCTTTCAAATTTTTCATGTAGAAAAGGCTTGTGTTGCCAACATAGTTACTAAATTTTTGACTTGGGGAATTATCTTTTAAAAAAAAACACACTTTATGAAGTTTTCGAAATTTTTCAGCATAAAGAAACCATTAATTCGCAGAATTCAGTTCTGCAGATTTATTCTGAATTCGGATGTTGAGGATGCTACAATATTAGAGAAGGAATAACAAATTTTGATTTTTTACCTGATAACCTTAACGGTGAAAATTATGAAGAATTTTCACGTAACAACTTGTATGAGCTACTACAAGATGTCCCTTTAGCGAACAGGCAAACAGATGATCTTCCAGCTTGACGGATGTCCTGCACACTATCGTCTAACAATAAGGGCACTCTTAGACCAAAGGATTCCGAATAGATGGATTGGAAGAGGTGGACCCATACCATGGCCTGTTAGGAGCCCTGATTTAACTCCTGTTGCGATATTGCGACAGAACTTTTCAAATCGAGTAACCAGGACAGAAATACGAAGACGGGCTCGTAATTGCATAAGGAATGGGGTTAGTCATTTTGAAAATTAATGAGTTATTGATTAAATTGTATCAAAAAGTTTTTCCATTTCATTTTGAGAATGTTGTTTTTTTTATTATGATAGGAAATACATTTTTTCAAATGGTAATTATTGTTTTATTATGGAACGAAAAAATTAGGTGCCAATTGTGAACTATTTGAAAGAGAATGCATTCAACAATGCTTGGCCATAGAGTGCCAGTAATTTATTATGAAAATTTCAAAATTTTCAAGCAGAAAATAATAATTACTTCTTTACTAAAAACTATTACTATTAGCTACTAAAAAATTTGATAAAATTTTTATTGCAACACTTGATATCCAAAACAGGTATAAATTAGAATTCTGTTGAAAATTATATCGTCTCTCCTTAAAATAAAAATAATTTATTTAACAAGAAAGCAAAAAGCTAATTCTGAAATAATGTACCTTATCTTGGAGACAATAAAATGGAGTACTTTTGCCAATTATTTGTACGTTTGAAGTACTATGAAATTTTCGATATTTTTAGGGTTAAATAAGTCATTAGTTAGAAACTTAACAAGAAAAGTTAAGTTTAAACCGCAATAACTCAATAGTTAACATTAGTGTTTCGATAATTTTCAATGCTGATATTTTTGTCAGTGTGTCAGCTTAAAATTTAAAACACGACTTTCAGAAAGGTCCTTATTATTTTCGTTAATTTTAAATATTTGCCTCATAAGGTAGTGAATTTTATAAAAATTAGAAAAATGAAAATATCGCGAAAACCGTTAAGAATGGTATAGAGGTAAATAGTGTTTAATCGGTAGCAAATAGGCTCTAATGTCATCTCCTCAAAGGAATACGTCCACTTACCAGTCACCCTATATACAGTGTGTATCAGCCAAATGGAATAAATTCGATAATAAATAAATGGGGCACTTTTCGAAAAAACGCTCGAACACTTCAATTTTGTTTTTTTGCTTGAGATTTTTTCACATCAATTTTTTTATACAGGGTGTTCCGAAAACAGCTGTACCGTTATCAACTTTAATTTTTTTGATGGTACCTCCTGTATATTATGACATTTCTGGATCTTGCGAAAAATTCTAGATATATTTCATGTACATACAATGTCATATACCTATCTTCAACAAATATTGACAGTTGAAAATTTAATTTTTTTGCATTTTGGACAGACTGTAAAACCTGAACGGTAAATTTTACAGCAAAACCGATCATACGTTCTTATCTTAGTTTTTCATAAACTATCATTTGACACCAACTTTGAATTTAATCCATGAGTAGAACTTTCGCTTAAATTATTGATCTTCAGTTAAATTCAAAGTTGCAGTCAAATGATAGCTTATGAAAATCTAGGATAGGAATGTAAAAACGGTTTTGCTGTAAAATCAACCGTTTAGCTTTTACAGTCTGTCAAAGATGCAAAAAAGTCAATTGCTAATATTTCCGCAAAACAGTTGAAGATAGGTATATGACATTGTAAATGAAAT